AGATGAATAGATAATAAGAATATTTGTATTTAACTGTAAAGCAACTAATTCTGAAATTAATAGTTTAATATATAGGATAAATATAAGAAAAATGTCAAACTGCGTTTATAATAATAAAATTGCTATATATGGACAGAGAAAACCTATAAATCTTACAAGATTTGAAAAAGAAGCTTCAAAAAGCACAAAAATTGCAAAAGTGAAGCTATATTCAAAGAACTTGAAATCTGACCTAATACAGAATGTATCAAATTAGCTACAAGGAATTTTTATCATCCTTAGTAAGTGAGAAAGCATAACGAACAATGTGCTAATACATAACTAGTTAATATTAACTTTCAATTAAAGCAAACTACCTACTTAGAGAAAAACTATAAATCAACCTGGTAATGAGAATAGCTAATTAAATATACTTTTCTTTCTTATGTTCTTACTTATAAAGATTAAAATGCAATGTTTCATCAGTTGTTTACTTTTGTTGTTAACGATATTTCTGGCCATAAACCCAATAATATCTCACAAGGTTCAGCCAGATTATGAGGTTTATGTTAATCCTAAGTACATATATTAAGTTTATAATGCAAACAATATTTATAACAAAAGTATACTAAAATTTAAAAATAATAAAATTACATATATGAAACACTGACCAATACTGCTAATGAAAGTAATAATATAGTATACCTTACCTACAGAACACACACATACTAACTGTTGGTTTCAAGTATTGTCATAGATTTAATGTTCATTGAACAATATAATATCAATATAATCATGTATAAGTAGTACCTTCCATAACTCTCCCTAAAAACATCTTGTGACCAATGAAAACCCATTAAACAGTTTTAACAGGGTAATTAAATAAGAACGTTGCATCATAGATTTTACTCTTTACGTGTGGAGTAAAGTAACCATACATTACCAAGTGTACAGCCAAAAACTAAACTGTAACTTAAAAAACACACACACAGCACACAAGAGGGAGTAACAAATACAGTTAAATCTTCTGTAAAAACCAAAAAGTAAATGTAACAAGATTTGAGAAAGATCAATAATACTAAAATACTTACAACTATCATCAATATAGCAAGTTAATTGGTAAAAACTAATGATGTAATGTTATACTATACACAGAACTGTTATATAGCTAGTGTTAATTATATGTAAGAGCTTAAACTAAGAGGAGGTGAAACCAATGGTGGTCAATTACACTAAAGAACTATTACCTTACACAATTTACAAAAGAATTAAAGTGTAGATGTGAAAGTTTTGAAAAAGTATGTATATCGGTAGAACTTTTAAATCCACAGTCAGTAGCAGGAATATTGTTGAATTTCCTACACAACTGAATGAATTTTGTGTTAAAATGTGATGAGAAACCTCATTTGTAAAAAATGCGAGTGAACATACAAGCTCTGTCTAAGAAGTCTTGTAATGCTGAATAAATTCTATTGTTTTTAATAAGCTGTGAATAGTAAACATTGTAACATAACTTGTTTGGCATATTTGTATTTGGAAATGGAAAGTTTATAACTTCAAGGTTGAAATTGTCCATTTTATTGAAAGCTTTAAACTTGCATGCTTCATCGGTGATACTAATAAGCTAGACAGTGTTCTTTGTTCTCAGTGAAACAGCTTTTTTTATTTATCTTGGGTGGGTAAACTTGTTTTGCTGTGTCAAGAAAACTTTGACAATTAGGAATAAGAATATGAAGAATATATCTAAAAGTTCAACAGATCTGCAAAGCTTTACTACAATCTTTCATATCAAGATTTGTTATATATGAAAATTCCAGTTTGAATAAATATAAATAAATCTGTAACTGGGGGATTGAACTTACCTTCCATTGGAATTGCCTTTATTTATTGGAAGACAAAGTGTACAAATGTGTTGTCAACTAAAAAATACATAGACTGCAATAATTCATTTAGTGTGAAAAAGTGATAATTTTTATGAGTGACATTGTCATAGATATTTCTGTTTACTGACACAGAGCATTAATTTACCAGAATTATTAAACGATCTTCAATTTTTGAGGAAAGACTTTTTTTAATTCTATCTAAAGGACTACAGTGAAAAAATTACTGAAATCAAGTTTCTATTGTTTTAGAATCAAAGCCTTTATTTTACTCTTGACATTCGAACATTTTAAGATCTCCTTTCCAAAAGGATACATAAGCAACAATGTACAAATATTTAACTATTCATTTAAATATTTTAAACATTGATAATTTAAAGCTTTTAGAATTGGAAGAAACAAATTGGCTATTATTACTTTTTATTTTTCTCAGAAAGAAATTACATTTTTTTGCTTTTTCAGGTTATTAAAATTAGAATTAACATATTCCACATATTTCCATTTATGACTTACTGTTGATGAGCAATGAAGAATCTAGTATTAAACGATAAAAAAGCAAAAAAAATGTAACATATCCACCTCATCTTCCTAGTCTATTTAATCCAAGAATATTCTGTAGCTGAAATGACACAAGACATATGTTATATGGTAATATCAGCCTAAAGTAATTAACATTTTCCATCTATAGAAACATCAATTATACATTATTCATTAGCTTCTCATAAGTTATATTTTAATTCAAATGTTCAAAAAGTTCTCTGATGAGGAGGTTTTTAACTTTCTAACTGAGACAACTCTTTTAACATATTAATTACAATATAGTTTGTTATAGTAATTATACTTATGAAAGAGACACACACAAAAAAACATAGGAACAAATTTTCAAAAAAAGCTACTCTCAAAACAAAAAAACAACAAAAACAAGTAAGTTCAGATGCTGACATATCCCTTGGTTAGTGATTAGAATGAATTCACTTAAAAAAATTAAGGGTTTTAGTGCTATAATTTCTTGACTATTAGACTTTCTTACTTTGTGAACAAAGTACTCAGCTACAACATTTGTGGCTTTTATAATATTGGTAAAAACTCTTCACATGTTTTAAACTGTATAACATAAATCCAATCCACTTGACCAATAAAATGAAAGTGGCTTTAGATGCAATACTTTTTTAGTAATTTATTGGTAATAGTTACAGTCGTATCACATCAAATAGGTTTAATATTCATCAACAAGATGTATTAAAGGTATTTTTCAAAGACAAATACAAAGACCTATTAACTACTGTACTTACAACTATGAGTCCTGATCCTGCTACTTCAGCTAAAATTTCTCTGGTCTGTTGTGCCTGTAACGAATTGTTTAGATGTCATTCATAAATAACAATGAAAAGTACAAATAAATAAAACAATAACAACAAGTATTGAAAACCTGCAACATCTTCCTGCCTAACAAATGGCTATGGTTTTGCTTACAGTCTAAATGTAGATATACTTTGAAAAAATACTTAAGCATAAGGCAACTGTATCAATTTGTCAGCTACATACCTTTAGTTTCAAAAATTCTTTTGCACACAACACTTAGAAAAAAAAAGCAACTGAGCCAGAGAAAATACGTCTGTTTTATCGTAAAATGTACTCATCTTTTCAAGACTTGAAACAAAAATATAAAAGTAGTATGCTTGCTTTAAATTGATTAAAAGTAAACGTTGACAAAATGTTTGTTTTGATCAGAAATCTGTGGTATTGAAATATTGTTTGTCACAGGCATTGTTTTGAATTCCTATTTAAGGTTCCTTAATTAGATGAATACTAAATGTTCAACCCAACAAATCAAAACTAAAGTTAAAAATACTTGAGTGTATAAATGTGTGCTGATGATTATATAATATACTTACATTTCAACATACATGTACCTATTATAACTTACATAACAGCTAAGTCTATATCAAGAGAACCAGCAAACATACAGATTCATAACTAAATCTATTAAGTCTGCTAGAATCTGTACAAAATAACTACATATATGTACATAACATACAACAAATCCTCTAATCTAGTTGGAAATAACAATATAGATTAATTCACAAATACTTCAACCAAACTTCCATAATCCATCTAGTGTACAAAAACAATGGCTTCCCAGTGCTCATTTCAACAATCTGACCATACAGAAATCCACTTGAATGATATGTTTTCCTATAGAATGACATAAATACCCTTTTCATTCTACAATTAAACGGTCTTATTTTCAGATGGAGATCCTTCATTATTATGTTGTATACTGTTGCCTAGGGCACATAGATTGCTTTTGCTTTGAGATTGTGGATTCTCAACTACTACAGGATACCATATATTAATTACCAAAGCTGGGTACAATTTACTGCAAGGTCTCTTCTGTATGGTACTGTTTTCTCAAGCTGATCTATATTCTTTTTTTTTTCATTGACATTAAGAAATTGGGATACTCCTGTCTTGAAAATTCTAAATCCCCAACATGAACACATCTTTATGATCTCAATGTATGAACGTAGTGTTGGAAATGCCTGTTACAAGGCCCGTACCAAGCATGATCAATGTCAAAATATAGTCAAGATAAATACTATTCCACTGCAACTTTAAATTGGCTTTGACTGTCACACTTACTGACTCGCATATTCAAAATCATTTTAATAAAACATACTCAACCCCCTGTATTCACCACATAACCCAGAAGATTCTTTTTTTCAATAGAAACACTCAGTATTACACAATTTATTCTGATATTTAATATTTCTCTTCTGAAAGAAATATAAAGTATGATGTAAAATGCTACCTGAAATTACAACAATAATCTCAATTACATATTCTATCTTCTTGTCATAACATAAAAGACTGTTTAGTTTAGATATTATTGATTAATTTATTTTGTGAGTGAAAATTTTATTATTCTTTAGTTTTGTTATAATAAGAGTTAAAGGAAAAAGATTGTAGGAAGTTGTGTTTATAAATTCATTGATGTTGAGACTATCAAACATTGCATAAAATATGCTGATGTCGAGAATATAGACATTTCTAGAAGGTGCGCAGATGATTAAGTGATAAACATATATATAGTGTTTATGAGGAGAAACTGCAGACAGACAATAGAAAAAGAGAGTAAAGTTACGGGCAAGGAAAAGTTCAGCGTGAAGTTAACTACCATAGAAGTTATAGGCCTAACGATTAATATAGGTCTGACATTTAATATGTTAGAGTAAGATTAACAGTAGAAAAGGAGATAAGAAGGTGAATTATTCCATCAAAGCATGGTTCTAAAGTAACTGAATCAGCCTGAGTGCACTTTGACAAAAGGGACAGAGGATATTTAGAAGAGAGAAGACCAAACGATTACGGTAACTCGTGCCACAATTGTAAGTGAATCACACACAGAATACTAGTGCTATAATAATAGAGAAGATTGTTCGGCTTGTCAACTGAAATTCTAAAGCAATTGAATAGGCCTAAGTAGACTTTTGACTAGAAGAAGAGAACTATATATATATATAGTGTCTATGATATGCCTATAATCTCTATAGTGTGAAGAATTTGTTGTACATATGTTTAACTTGTTCCGAATATATATATTATTTTGAAAATAAGTGAAGTACGAGCTGTTCATTTATCATTGAATTTATCACTAACAAGTCACAGACACCTACTGTAGAAGAATCCTAAGGCCAACAACAACACAGTATATATTTATACTATTTAGAAATATAAGTAAAAGCCTTTTATTTTGACAATTAGCAAAAGAATTATATATTTAAAATCTTACACTTGTATACCTTCCCTACACTTAACTATTTTTAGCTATTCAAGTCATCCCTTTCACACTGATGTATATAATACGGCAATTCTGACCTGTTTAACAGTTTTCCCAAAGTACTGGATATCATCAATACGCCGATCTAAAAACTCCCAGGTATCAACATAGTCTGAAGATGAATCTTGAAGAAAACATAACTCTGTGGCCTTGTATACTGCTGCTAATGAAAGTCGTTTTGTATACCAGTTAAACTGAAAAAGAAAATATCAAAATAACTAACATGTGTAATTAAGAAACATATGGAAGAAGATGTTAAAATTTTAAAAGCAGAGTCCTTTTTAACTTTTATGTGAGAATAAATTTAAAGAATGAGAAAGAAAAACTCACCATCAAGACTTTTGTAGCATGTAAATTTTATTAAGAAATGTATTCTGTAGGAGGAAGTAAAACTTAATTGGAACTATGTTTTCATTAGGACAAAATGAAGCAAATGTTTTTAAAACATTTATTACTTCTTTTTAGAGAATAATAGAATAGAATATAAAGAGTTTTGAGTAATATTTGAGAAATGACTGACTACTCTGTAATAATAATCTCTGTCCTCACACAGCAACCATTGAAAAATGTTGGCTAGATGTGCTGTGATAAAAAATTAACAATGTAGTACAATAACCATGTTTGTTGTAGAACAACCACAGAAAATTGTTGATGTGTTCTTATCAATGAATAATAACGTACTATGATAATCATGTTTGTTCTAGTAGCAGAACAACCACACAATACTGTTGTTCAGATGCATTCTGAATCAATGAATAAGAATTCCAGTTAAACACTTAAAGACTGTTTATTGTTAAGCACAAAGCTACATGATGGGCTACCTGTACTGTGCCAATCAAGGGTATTGAAAACCAATTTTTAATATTATAAGCCCTCAAACTTACTACTGAGCCATTGGGAGGCCTGTTAGTAATTTTGAATATGCCACTCTTAACTTGACAATATGAGTGTAATTTCAGTTCCAATTTGTTTAGTGTACATGTGGATGGGAAGCAGCACAAAACAAAAATGTGCAGTTGAAATGCTATTAACATAACATTCTCACAAGAAACATATATAGGATTATAATGAAAATTACTATTCTGCAACTTATCAGACTTGTGATTGATGAGATTCAATATAATATGTGATTTTTATTTTAAGCATTTTGAATTAACAATTGATATTGCTCATCTGAAAGCTGCTCATAAAGAAATTATTGATGCTTGAGGTCTTCTATTAAACTTAACTACAGTATTATGAAAATTCTGGGTTTTAAAGTAAGTGTGACGTTTCTTATTTACCAATGTACAATTTATCAATCACTTTTTGAACATAATTTTTGAATTTAGCTGTCCTCTATTGGAATTATTCTATAACTTTCAATTTCATAACTTATTTCAATCTCACAGCTCATACCATCTTATAAAACCAGCTCAAAATTGTTCTTTAGCACTTTATCACTGAAAAGTTATCATAGAATAATGTTAGTGGAATGTGTGCTGATCAATGAATAATAATGCTGTTAGTTAAGTGTATGAAAGCCATTGTTCAGATAACTATGATTGATAAAAGTAGAAAACCAACCTATATATTATTTTTTATAATAGATTCAGCACCCATTTTTCATTAGGCTTGACTGTGGTAATATGATGTAAGAACCATTTATAAAGGTTGTACTTTAACAATGTGAACTTAAAAACGTTTTTAATCTTTCCTTTTACTAACTTATTGTTTACACAAAAGTTATGTATAAATCACAAACTATTATATTATTGATTAATTAAATTTATGTAATTTAAAACAAATGTTCAAAAATATGTTTAAGTTACAAATAAATTTAATTAATAAGACCATAAAAATTTTAATAAAAGTAACAATGTTCAGGATATACTAAAATAGTATTATCTTTAGTTTTTGTCCAATAATATTTTAATCAAAACAAAGTCTTCCAGACTTATGTTTATCTTTTTTATATTGTTTATAAAATTAACATTCTATTTATTTAAGCCTCACATTCTTTCTAAGCAACAAATGCACAAGGACATAATCTTGACATGTCCAGGCAAAGAAAACAGTGCTGTTATTATGGGTAAGGCTGATTAACTGAACAATAATATTTTAAACGACACAAGTTACAATGTTTGACACAATTTAAACATAAGATCGCAAACTATTCAATTTTGAAGTCTTTAAACTAAGGTGGTGTCATTAATGACATTATTTTGGAAAAAACTGTGAATCCTTACATTATGTAAGAAAGATACTTCACTTGGACCTACTACCTTGAATACAGAAACATGCACTTGTGACTTGACAAGTTTTTGAAACAATTTTCTCCATGAGAAATTTAATACCTGTATTATTTAATATTGTATAAGCAGACACACATCTATGTGGGGGTTCAACCCCTTCCATTATGTTTTTCAGAAATTAATAAAAAACAGCCATATAGCATCAAAAAGAAATACTGGATATCAGAATTGATCTATTAATTACAACAATATGAACATCAATTAAATGTTGCCATGGTAAATTTTTGCACATTGGCATTTTACATACAAGTTTACATCAATGTTTACATACAAGTTTACATTTTACATCAATGTGTGTATACTCTAGACTTGAGATTTGTTTTCATCAAAGTTAAAATTTTTCAGGACACCCGAAACTCTTTTAACATATAATTGTAACAAAATAAGATTTTCATTGTTTGGAGGTTAGAATCCTCATGAATGATATCATTGTAATAAGTAATGAATTAAAAAAAATACTAAAAATGAGCATACTTTTTATAAACACTAAAATATGAATTTAGATGTAGACTTCATAATTTATTTTCATAAATACAATTATAAATAGTTAATTTCAATTATAAAATTTGAAATGTTAGTCTTTAACTGGTTTTATAATTTCATATCAATCACATTACTAAAAAAAGATATATAAGACATGAAATTGTTGGATTATAACCCAAGTTACTCATACTGATTTGCTAGACTTTCTAACTGAATTTATTACTAAAGTTACAAGTAGTGTCTAATTCTAAGTAAAAAGAAAAAAAATAATATAAATTTATCAGTAGTGCTAGTACAGTTCTAGTTGGACCCCCCTCCCCAACAACATCCAAGATCTTCCCGTTCCACAATGAATGGAACTATAATAACATTTAACATAATTTGAAAGATGAATGAATCATATGGTTGGAAGATATTTAACATTACTCCATCTAGCAAGCTTTGATATTTCTCTATTTTATTTTATTAAGAGCATCAGTAATGTTTGTCAAATATCATGTATTGATTTTTGCATGTTCTGAAGAAAATGAAAGAAATATTCAATTAACTTATACACATTGTAGTCCTATAACTGAAGATAGCCTTTATGCATGATGTAGTCCAATAGCTGAAGATAGCCTTTGTATAAAATAATTTATTGTTGATATTTTTAAAGTGAACAAAAATACTAACTTTCTTAGTAGCCAATGCAAGTCTTGCTATATTTCATTCCAACAATAAAGCTAGTGGATGAAATTCTTTGAAACTTCA